GTGCAACCAAGTAAACGAAAACTGTTAACTATCTCAATCTCTTCACCATCCACACTGATGCTGTGTAATAAAGTATTCATGAATGAGTGATTGAAAAAAAACACAACACTTTGTAAACTTTTACTCAAATCACATTTTAAAAGAGAAAAATATTGTATGACAGATGATTAAGTAGAGATAATACTGTTAGAAACCCAAGAAAGAAAGTAAAATTATAGATAGGATATTTCTATCAAGTTGGTCACTATTGTTACGGACATGGATGAGATCAAAGACAGCAAAGAGAGAAGAGACAAGGGTCAGGACAGAGTCCTGTTCTCTTACCCAGGCCTGAAATCATGTTCGAAAGAGCATTTGGATGTTTATAACAATCTGGATGGCTGATGGCAAAGAGGCTAGCCACCCAGTTAAAGAAAGAAAATTTGGGGACACAGTAGCATTCATAACTTCCAAACGTATTTTTGCAGTATGCACTTGACTTGCAAGGTGGCTGGCCAGTTGTACATTCATCAATATCTGTAAATCAAGAGAAAACATTGCTTTACATATTCATAAAACCATACACTCATTATCCATAATTGTCTTTAAATTTGTGCTCTCCAAATAAGGTCTCTTATTTCTGGACTGGATGACTCAACACTACAAAGATTATCATTCTCCCTATTAACACATTTAGTACCATTAAAATAAAAAAATTCTAGGTTATTTTATGGAGTGATATCTTGTAGGAACAATCAGGATGCACGTATGGTATCAGAACGCTGTTAATAAAATGCTAAAGTTTATGTATAGGAAGAATCAATCTAGGAAGGGGAAGGAGGAGGTAGAAAATGAATTGATTGACAGTGAGCACTAATTGGGATGGGTGAAGAGAAGATTGGTGTGGACCATCAGACATCGTGTGTATTGCAATTGGTGTTGTGGGACAAGAAGGTACATGAATGACTATTTGGAAAACAACAATAATAATATACTTTGTACACTTTCACTGAAATAATATAAAAAAAGGGAGTACCAGTGACTTAGTAGTAAGGAGTTGTGCCACCAACCCAAAGGCACATGGTTTGAATCCTCTATCTTCTCTGTGGGAAAAACAATCTCCTCCCATGCGATTTGCTGCATCCCCCATTAGCTTTGGATAGGTTCTGACTTGATAGTGCTTAACAACGACAGCAGTAAATAATAATAATAATAATAATAATAATAATAATAATAATAATAAAAGTAGCTGGAAATTTTATGATTAGGGGCACCATCTTTACCAGACATGAAATTCACTACAGGGAGCCCTGGTGGCACAATGGTTAAGCATTGGATGCTAACTCTTAGCTGTTCAAAGCCACCCAGTACCTCTAAAGGAAGAAGACCTTGCATTCTGCTCTCCTAAACATCACAGCTTAGAAAACTCCATGGGGCTGTACTCTGTCACATGGGGCTCCTATGAATCAAAATTGAGTCCCTTGAACCTAATACCAAGAGCAAACATTCAGTCTATTGGCTGCTATGGTGTGGATTTTGACCCATGACAACCTTATCCATGTGTTAGAATAGAACTGTGTTCCACAGGGTTTTCATTGGCTGACTTTAAATACAATACATTGCCACAACCCAAAGGCACTTGATTCAAATCCATCCTGCTTCCCTGGAGAAAGATGGGCAATCTCCTATGCAATTTACAGTCTCTGAAAATGCACAGAAAGGTCAGCCATGAGTTGATTCTCACACAACGGCAATGAAGGTTTTATTGAGAGATTACCAGTTATTTACAAAATCTACACTAATGACCAATATTTTGGCCACCAGCTGATCACAGTACCCATTTGTATCACTCAGGAATGACAAACAGACTCTGCTGTTGTGTCAGAATCAACAGTGGATTTTCAGAGACAGTTGTTTGTATGGGAGGAAATTGTCCATCCTTCTTTCACTGAATAACGGTTGATTCAAACTGTACGCCTTTGAGGTTGCAGCACAGTTTTTTACCACTAGGCCTCCGGAGCTCCCTAAACATATGATAAAGCTTTCATAAGCATCTGAAGATAGAACCCGAACAGGCAAATACATCAGTAGAATATACTACTAGTCCAGAAAGAGACCCCAGTCTTCATGCATTAATACATGACAAAGGTGATGTGTCAGAGCACTTAAAATATTTTTATGTTTGTAATTTTATATTTGTTCGCACACAAAATTCATATACATTGTGTTTCACGCTTTCCTTCAGTCACATTGTGGACTTAAACTCAAAACCATGTAGGAACCAGATTAAAAGTGGACGGATCCCTATTTTGGGACATTGAGTGGTGCAAATGGCTGATGCATCTGACTAGTAACAGAAGAGCTGGAGGTTCAAGTCTGCCTGAGGTGCCTCAGAAGAAAGGCTTGGTGATCTACTTTTGAAAACAGTCACTGAGAACCTCATCGAGGACATCTTTACCCTTACACACACACACACACACACACACACACACGGTTACCATTAAGTCAAGGTTGGTTCAATGGCAACTGGTTTGGGATTATTTCTTCATAACCTCCATATAGAGGGGAAAGACTTCTTAATTGTGACTCAGCGCCATTGATAAACTTGTCAACATTAAAAGAAAAAAAATAGCATGGGAATAAAACACACTATAAACAAAATGAAAAGACAATGTACCCTACATGTAATGGAGGTGGTTGTAAAATGCTAGGAAATTTGCTGATGTCAATGAATTGCACATGTGAAAAATATTGAAATGGCACATGTTTGGTGGTGGTTGTTGCTGTTGTTCTGTGCCACTGAGTAGACTACGACTCATAGCAACCCTATGCGCAATAGCTCTGGACTTAGCTCTATTCTGAATCAATCTCACTGTCTCTGACAAACCTACCCTCATTACCCCAGTTGCTGTGTCACTACATCTCACTCAGAGTCTTTCTCTTCTTTGCTATCCCTTGACCCTTCCAAGTATATCCTTCTCCAAAGACTGGTCCATTCTGGCTACATGTCCAAAGTGAGATGGAGTCTCAAAATCCTTGCCTGCAAGGAGCAGCTAGGTTTCACCCTCTTGTGGACAGATCTGTTCGTTCTCTTGGCAGCCCATGGAATGTTCAATACTCTTCTCCAATACCACAGTTCAAAGGCATCAATTCTTCTTTTGTCCTTGGTCATTGTCCAGCTCTCTGATGCATAACAAACAATTGCAAAGACCATGGCCTGGATCAGGCCCACCTTTATCTCTAGACTCACATCCTTGTTCTTCAGCACTCAGCAGAGGTCCCTGACAGCAGATTTTCCTAGTGCAATTTATATTTTAATTTCGTGACTGCTGGTTCCAAGAGTGTTGATTGTGGAATTGAGCAAACTGAAATTGTTAATAATATCAATCTCTTCTCCATCTATCATGATGCTGTCAATCGGCCCAGTGGTGAGAATTTTCACTTGGTTATCTATGTTATTACTGTTATGAGTCATCAAGTCAGAACCAACTCATAGCTGACCTTTTAGCAAGTTTTCAGAGGTTGTAAATCACACAGAGGGATATTGCTCATCTTTCTTTTTTAAAATTATTATTAAATTTTATTAGTTTTAGTGAACATTTACAGAGATTTTGGGTTCTCATTCATTCATTGTTGCACTGTTTTCTCTATCTTCTTCCCCAGTTCGTTCTTCTTCCCCCCACTCCGAATGTCTGTTTTAATTGTCCAATTGCCACAGTGCTTGTCGAAGCCAGTTCTGATTAATCTCCTTTGTCAGTGTGTCCTTTGCCATTCCCTATC